CCACAGGGTCAGTATCCCTGGAGAAACATGAAGGTCATTGAATATTTACAGTATAAAATTAACTAGTGTTGTGGAGATCACAAAGATCTTGACAGTGGGCAAGTTTCTGCCTACTCATTGTGTCATGACTTGCAAGTATGATGGCAGTAAGAATCAAATTTTTGAATAGCATCTCTGATTTAAAACTCAGTAGCAAAAATGCCAATATTGCTGGAGTTTGACTTAATATTAAACATATTTTAAATAAATTATGAAATATGCTTCCATGTGTTCATGCAAGGAATGATTGTGTGGAAAATCTTGCCCTAAAAATTATGGTTGAAAATGATGGTTTTCTAATTGGGGGGAAAAGCACTTGTTTAAATTATATAATTTGATATGAATTTGAAGTTTATATTTACACAACTGTTCAAAAGTGTAAATTCAGTAATGTATATAAATATATACTTGTATTCAGCGAGGTCTCAGAAATCTATTGTAACAATACATATCTTTACTGTTACTATTTCAAATAAGGCTGTTCTTTTAAACTTTCTATTCTTAAAATAATCCTGGGAAAAAAATGTTTCCACAAAAATATTAACCCACAAAACTTATTTTAACTGATGATAATAATAAATTTGTCCTAAGGATCATGTGATACTGCTTCAGCTTTGTCATCACAGTAATTTTTTTTAATATATTAAAATAGAACAACATTGAAATAATGGGTACTTTCCTGTTATCCGGACCCCACGATGGCCTACCCCTAACCCCGCCCTAAACCTAACCGTCACTGGGGTTAAGACCAATCAGGGATGACTAGTTCTGAAATGGTATATGGTGGAGTCCGGTGAACAGGATATTACTGTTTTTACTGTATTTTTACCAAATAAATGCAGGTCTGTTGAGCATAAAGAAAATCGTTCAAAAGCATAGAAAGGTAGTGTAATTTTTGAATATACACCTATTTGAGTTGTGCTGTGTTTTTGTGTAGCTTGAGGAGCTCCAGCAGTAAACTGGCTCAGCTGACCCTGGAACAGATGCTGGAACATTTGGACAGTTTGAGACTCAATCTCAGCAACACCAAGAACAACTGTGAGTTCACCTCACAGCCGATAACACCACTAAATTATTAGCAGCCTGGTTGTCTATTTTACTGTTTATATTGACTTTAACTGTGATATCTGAATTCTTCTTGTTGGTGTATCAGTTTTTTCCCAGACACCCATATTACAGGCCCTGCAGCATGTTCAGGCCAGCTGTGATGAGGCCCACAAAATGAGGTGTGTTTTTTGCTTGACAAGGCACAATTTTCAACATGTATTGTATTGTCCTTTTGTTATTCGACTAAATGTCCATCGCTTCTTTCTTCTGTCAGGTTCAGTGATCTTTTCTCATTGGCTGAAGAATATGAGGATTCCTCCAAACAGCCTAAATCTCGACGCAAAGCCCCGGCGTCATCACCACGGTCCCGCAAGGGTGCGGCTCCACAACCCTGCAATGAAGAGGAGAGCGCATCCAGCAGCGCTTCGGTAAATCTACACTCACAAATTGACATCATCACGAAGAAGCACTCATGTTATTGTGTTCTACTTGTCATCTGTTTTCAATCGCTTTTGTTGACTCCCCTCCAGGAGGAAGAGGACTCCAAACCCAAAGCTCCCAAGAGGAAACGGAAAGGCTCATCTGCAGTAGGTTCTGACAGCGACTGAGAGGACAAATCCTCATCCTCATGCCAACCACGCCCCCTCTGTGATTGTGTTGTCACTGGAGAATACCCGTCAATCATCGACTCCAGCCAATCGGGGACAGCCCGTCCGAACACTCTCCTACTGTAGGGGCAGAACTCTTTCTCTGGACTCAAATGCAGAGGAGCCTGGGAGACGAGCCTCTACTATCTCTAACCACTGCACTGCTCGGCTATTTTAAGCCTGAGAGTTTGGTTAAGTGCAAGGATGGGCGCAGTGGGGGCGGCTAAGCCTGGAAAATCTAAACCCAGACTGACAGATGTACAAACTAGACAGACTGCCTTAACAAAGAGGATGTTTAATCTTCCGCAATGCCCCATCCATAAAATTTCATGGTAATGGACTTCAAAGAACGATTACCCACTAACGATAGTGAACCCGGACTGTAACATGAAGTACAGGGATCTTAAACCGATTCAAGATTTTACTGCATATGGAGGTTCATTTTGAAATGGTGGAAAGCAGATAGGGGCCTTCAGGTTCAAGCCTTTTATCTTTTCATATTGAACAGACCTTTCCCATGCCCATCATTAATAAAGATTGACACTCTGTCCTGTTTGGACACTGTGGCTCTGCAGTGTGGAGCCGGAGACTTCACAGAGGGTCTGTGAGTTTTTATCTCATGTTTGAAATGCACAGAGCTGCAGAAAGCAGGACCGTACAAATGGAGGACTTGACATGGACTTTTTAAAGAATTCTTTCTACTGACTTATTTTCATAAAAACAGATTGTAACTATGTTAAAGGACTATGATATTAATAAAAAAAAGGGCGGAAAAAGTTTGGTTTTCTTACTAAAATGTCACGTTTGATGTGTATTCTTGTTTGGATGAAGACTGTCTTCAATAACATATTATTCCATATTTATTTAGTTAGCACAGTGGATGTACATTATGCTTAACATGCAAACTCTGCATACATGCAATACCTGGATAATCTGTTTTTTTTTAAGTATACAAAAGGGCAGATACTATACTAAAAACTCTATCCCACAATGCATTGTGCAGCTGATTAGGCCCTCCATTTCCAATGTAATGGATGAGTCAGAAGTAACATCGGACAATATTTTTAACCTCTTTCTTTGCTCACTGTTTGACTTAAATATTTAAAAATGCAAACCAATTCAAAGATTATTAATACAAAACATCAAATGCTCTGGAACAAAGAGAAGAAATGCAAACCCGACATTAGGAGATACATGATGCTGAGAGTCACGACGACTCTCAACATTCACGGGCTGATCTGAAGTACATAAGGCCCTGATTCTCATTGCATTTCTTTGTATAGCCAAACTTTTTTCACATGAAAACATGCACCAACAACGGAAATGTGCGTTCAACGGGTACAGCTTTTAAGAGCAGAGGACCATTGCCTAATAGTCACACTTTATTACCTTTGGGAATGAGATATTTGTTCCAGTCGCACAGAGACAGTTCAAATGTTACTAAACATTGTATGATACTTGATTATTCACATTAAATGATGAGGGGAAAAAAAATGTAGATCAGGATGAGGGAGGTGAGACCTCCTCCGTCTCAATAGTGCACGGGGGAGTTCAAATGTTAATTTGTAACAAGGTCCTTTCCTTTGTCCACTTAAGGAATGGTTGTTCAACTAATTTTCCAGTCTTACAACCTGAAGAATTTAATGCAAGATATTTAACCGACATGGAGAGCTGCCCTGATGGAAAGAGAAAAACAAACAAAAACAAAAAAACACGCTGTGAGTTGTCTACATGCAAGTGAATACAGTTTGACTATCAAAAATGAGAAATTTGCACAGATTGGAATTAAAAGCATTTTATTTGACACTTAAAATGAGTTTGTCAAAAGCAATAAAATAAATAAAAAGTAGTTGCCATACTAATGCTCATTTCAGTTACAATTTTTATAGGTGATCTCATAGCTGAAGTTTTTGCTTAGGATTCTTCCTTCTTGGAGTAAGACTCCTCAAGACAGTTAAAGGTTTGTTCAGAAACAGCTCTAGGCCTTCCCTCTTGGATCTCTGAGGGGAACAGCAGTCACTTGGGTTGTCTTGCAGCTTTTTTGCCGAGCCGTTTCTCTTGTTTGTGGAATTGAACGCTGAATTTGAAGATGTCGGTGAGGAAAACGAATCCACCTGCCTTTTCCTTTCTGCACACCGTCTCTGCTTATGGAATAAAGACTCCCTCCGGTTGACGCTGGGACTTGCAGCCAAGGTCCGAAAGCCGTAAGGTGTGGTGACCTTTCCAACATGTTCCAGAGACATGGCTACACACGTCGAAGGGTCTGAGAGATCCTCTGAGGGAGATTTCTGCAGACGTTTCAGCTTCATCTTGGGGGTAAAACAAAGCTTGGCAGAAATGTATGGTGAACCAGTGGAAGGTTGATGTCTAGGAGACTGTTCTTCTGGACTTTCTGGAGATAGCAGCTTACGTGTGTCCTCATCTTTTGATTTCTGAAGAGACCGTGACAGCTTTGGAGGAATAGTAAATTGTGGGATTCTTCTAGGGGTCAGTGGTAGATTTTGCCTGGAGAATCCTTTGGGTGTCATGATGTTCTGTAGACTAGCTGAATCCACTCCACAAGCAAACATTTTTCAACTTAAAGATGACCAATCTATCTGCTCAGATGCTCCACGGATACTGAGGGTTTACTTCACTTGTAAGAGGTCTTGTATAAAAGTGCTGATGAGCAGCAGGTGAACATTATCACATTTGATTGGTTCGCTGATGATTTTCATTAGGCACCTGTTGAATTTATACTCCCCTTGCTCAAGTTTATAAGGTCACAGACTCTGAAACGCTTTTTTACATACAAAAAATGTTACACAGCTCATGTTGTCTGGAGTTTTTTGTCTACTGATATTTTTTGGAAAGATATTTTTTTTTGCAGCGTTTTATAAGCAGAACTATATATATATATATATATATATATATATATATATATATATATATATATATAACAGTACGACCCACTGAGGAGATGTACGTCTATCCCTCGGAGCCCGCTTTTATTCACATTAAAAATCAAATATGGAGCTGCTGTGAATAAGGTCAATTTCTGTGATTTCATGTTATCCCACCCTCGCACCAGTAAACACGTCATCAGATAAAGGAGATCATCATTGATAGAGGAAGCGATGCTTATGAGGGCATATTTAAAATTAAGGATTTTTTTAAAATTAAGGTAGTTTACCATAGTTTACCTGCAAGCAAGGGGACTTTTATTTCCACATTCAACAATTCAGTTCAGCGAACCGGAAGTGACGCATTTTTGTTGTGTATCTCGTCATCGCATCGCTGATGTAGCGAATGTTGGCGGTTGTGTATAAAATATTGGAAATGTTCATCAACCTTGCAGCGAGATTAAATTTAATAATGCGGAATGTGCTGCTGATATGACAGTTATAATGGAGGTAACGTTCCTGTTCCAGATAACATGTATTTTAGAAAGCTGACGCTTAAACATAAAATAAAGCAAGAGTTCGGAGGAATTGGATGCTAAAACCAATATTTATAACTTAGTATAAACACACGAAAATAAATATACATGTTTTCTTCGGACCATAGGCGTTATCATACGTGTATACACGCGTTATTCTGTTTACTTATTTGATATTCTGTATGGATGATATTTTGTCCCGACAGGTCTGAATAGAGCATCGTGAGATGGATCAAACCCGAAAACGAAGATTAAATAACAGGAAAACGGGGCTTTCTCTCTGTAAAGTGGCGAGGGTTGAAGAGCCGGGGGAAGTTCCTGGGAGCAGAGATGTTGCAGATACTACAGGATCAAGCAGACATTTCAATACCATCAGATCCTCCAGCCCACAATCTGACAGTGCCAGTAAGACATGTCCAAAACTTTGTAAGAAAACTAACTGTTACCTGGACATCAGTTTTGTCTATTATGTGGGCTCATATAGTGCCCAAATGCTGACTAGGATGTCAAATGCAGCCTAGATGTGCGTTTCAGTTATGGTGAAATTAATAAATAGGTTTAAAAAAAGAAATACAGTGAACATAAATTGATACCAAATACCCAAATGGATTTCTTTCTTGCACATTCTTATGTTCATATATTCATATTTGAATTTACTACCACTAACTAAAAATAAAAAGTACTACGGAAAGTGGCAGTTCTACTATAGTAATACTGTGCTATTCCTGTACCTTGACTTAATATGATGCTGCTAATGAATATAGTGGTATCAGAAAGTGTGCCTGTCTGGATAATCTTAAATGTTTATGTGAATGCTGTCAGGTCAAGAACAACATGCATGTACCCAGAAGCCTGAAGATGATGCTGTGAAGACCTTGAGCATGACGTTTGGTGAGTTCAAAAAAGACTGTCCTCATTAGTTATATATTCATAGATATTGACCAGTGGTGCATTTTCCAAAAGCTTTGTGAGCCTATGTTGATCGTAGGGATGGGCGATATACCAGTATGCAAGATACAATGGTAGAAATTTGTCAACCAGTAGAGATTTTGGACTTTGTTGGTCATTTTGGTCAATACAATTTGTGAGTCAAAATTAAGTGTTTTAGGAACCTTAAAAAAATAGCATAATAATAATAATAACAATCATTATTGTTTATTTTATTATATATAATACATTTTACTCTAATTAGATAAAAAAATAGTTGTGTAAATTACAATTGTAGCGAAAAATAAAATATGGATATTTGATGATAATTATAATAATTAGTCTATTTGACTGCATAAGTTAAAATATGAATATTTGTGTTTTAAATTCTTCATTTTCAAATGTTCTAACCCTTGTGCTTTTAATATTACAAAGCATCAAGCTTTTATTTTGGCAAAATATTGGTGAAAGGCTGTAAACTTCTGTCCACAAAAATGGAAATTATGCAGATGTGAAGAGAAATAATGCATAACTGACACAGGTTGCATTTCTAAAAGTGTAAAATTCAGATTCAAAGGTGAATTTTGCTTATCACACTGAGCTGGATCAGGATTTTTAGTTTGGCAGCCCCATTTGTTTATTTGCCTTTCATCAACTCAAAACCCTGTTTAGGAAATCCTGCAATAAATAAAACAATATCAATCGACCATGAAAAATCAGCTGTTTTGCTCTTTTTCAGATAAGGAACAGTGTGGAACCCGTGCGCTGGGCCGAAAGAAAGGTTTGAGAAGGAAAAGAGACACCGTCGTTGAAGTAGAAACTCAGCAGAAGGAAGTCGAGGATGAAATCCAGCCGGAGGTCGAGATTGATCAAGAGCTGGACAGAGAACTGGAAAACAAATCTCGGCAACATAACTTGACCTCTGCGAACGTTCGTAACATCATTCATGTGAGTGTGGAGTGTTTCTTCAAGACACAAATTCCCTTTAGCATATGAAGCCTTGCATAATCATCTCTTTGACTTTGTTTTCAGCATGTAGCTCAACATATTTACTTCCCATTTGCAGGAAGTGATTACCAACGAGCATGTTGTGGCCATGATGAAAGCAGCTATCAGTGAAACTGAACCCATTCCTGTGTTTGTGAGTATAGATGTTTTTGGATGTTTTCGTTTGGGTGGACATTATGCTGATATTTGACATTGTGACGTGTACGTTTGAGGAAGTAATATCTGGACGTGTGTGGTGTGGATCAGTGTTCTCTGTTAGATTGAATAAATCCCTTCATGGGAGACCATGAGCCTAGTAATTTTGCAGATCATATACAGTACATGCACAAACATATACATTACACACTACAGGAACAGTAGAACATTAAAAAGCATCATATGACCCATTTAAGCTCACACATCTATCTCTCTGTCTCACAGGAGCCCAAGATGACTCGTTCTAAACTGAAGGAGGTTGTGGAGAAAGGAGTTGTAAGTTGTTTTGATTGTATAGGAGCATGGATTACACTGCTGCACATTTATTTTGCAGAATTTATTTTACGGTTACATATTTTAACAGCTACCTAATATTTTAACTTTTTAGCATGACAAGTTAAAATAAGTAGAGGTTCAGAGACCTGAGACATAAAACATTAATAAATGCAGTGAGGTGTTTTTGTTGTTTTTATAGGTCATTCCTGCTTGGAACATTTCACCAATTAAGAAGTCATCGGAGGTAAAGGTGAGGTAACCAACAAGAAATAATCTGCAAAGAATAGGACCGGGCCGTTATATGCAGAATATATTATTAAATGGTGTTTCCACTTACAGAAGGGTCCCCAGTTTGTGGATATTCCTTTAGAAGATGAAGACTCCTCTGATGAAGAGTATCGGCCTGATGAAGAGGACGAAGATGAGACGGCTGAGGAGGTTGGAGAGAAAGATTTTTGTCAGTCATTTGATACTTTCTTGACGCAGTGGCTTTGTAGAGACGTGTGTTTGTGTATGTGTGCATGGTAGACCCTTCTGGAAAGTGACTTTGAGAATTCATCTTCTCCACGGGGCAGTCGAGTGAACCTGAACAGATCGCATTCTGAACATGAGGAGGACGGAGCCAGCAGCTCCAGACTGGTAAGATTAAATGCTATAGTATAGCTAAAAAGTAATATATGTATTTTTCAACATTTTGTTGAAAACAAACCAAAAGTTTGGGGTCAGTAAAGGCTTTTTAATGTTTTTGAAAGAAGTCTCTTATGCTCATGAAGACAAAAAATCATCAGCTCATCAAAAATAAATACAAAAAAAAAACTGTGATATTGTGAAATATTACTGCAATTTAAAATAACTTTCCTATTTCAGTATATTGTAAAATGTGATGTGAATTTTTTGGCAGCCATTACTTCAGAAATAATTCTAATAAGCTGGTTTGCTGCTCAAACAATCATCAATGTTGAAAGTAGATACCATAACATTGTGTTTTCAGGATTCTTTGATGAATCAAATAGCAATCATTTTTAACATTATAAATGTCTTTACACTCACTTTGGAAATCAATTTTGTGTGTCCTTGCTGAATAAAAGGATCAATTTCTCTATGTACTTTAAGAACTTCTTACCCTGCAATAGCTTTATGACGTAAGATTTGTTTTTCCAATTAAAGAAGCCAGAATTTCAAGTTCAACCAAACAGCCATTATTATTAAGAAGCCAAAGTGTTTAATGCAAGAAGCAGAATTCAACAGTTTAAATCAGAATTTAAAACAAATATTTTAAAACTTGTTCCCCATTTTTACAGAGCCTTCGTAGATCCAGGCACCTGACAGTAGCTGTCACCCCAATGGGACCTCCCCCACCCCCACCAGCCCCCTCCAGGGCCCCACCAGATTGCAGCTTCTTGGAGAAACTGCATGCGGTAGATGAGGAGCTGGCCATCGGCCCTGACTGCATTGAGTCTTTTCAGGTGCATCTCACTTTACTCCTATTGTTTGTGTACATGGACATTTAAGTCACATTGAATGTAATTGCAAACAAATGATCAAACCATTCATTTTTATTATATCATTTATCTCGTGCATACTGTGCCTGAAGCAAAACAATTCACTAATATTCACACAACCATTCAGAAGTTTGGGGTTGGTAAGATTTTTTAACGTTTTTGAAAGAAATCTCTTATGGTCACCATAGCTGCATTTTTTTAAAATCAAAAATACAGTAAAACAGTAATCTTGTGAAACATTAGGGTCATGACATGAGACATCAAATTTGCCTGGATCTTTTGACATATAAGAGGTCTTAGTACCATTAAAACATCCTGCAAGTTGAAATATTATTTTTTAATATTCCTTAAAATGTATTCTCTATTTGGCATTAGAGTCTCACTAGCACTAATGGAGAGGAGAGCCTGATTTCATTTCGAACGCGATCCAAACGACCACTTAGAGACGTCCCTATGGGCCTGCTGGAGGCGGAGCTTCGTGCTCCTGACATCACTCCAGACATGTATGAATTTGGCTCCGCCCCTGAGGATAGAGAATGGACCCATTGGTTGCAGGGTCTCATGACTTCAGATATGGAGAATGAAGGTACGGATATGCCGAAATATGCATATGCTTCTGCTCTTATAACGCTTAAAACGCTCTTATTCTCTTTCCAGAGGAGGGTGATGATGAAGATGACCCTGAGTACAATTTTCTGGCTGAAATTGATGAGCCTGATGTGGAGGACTATAGGAATGACAAAGCAGTGCGCATCACCAGTGAGTTCATTTGAGAGAAATTATTGGCAAATCGTTTGTCCTAGTTTGATATTAATCACCACCTTTCCTTTTTCACTTAGAAAAGGAAGTGAATGACTTGATGGAGGAGCTATTTGAAACAGTAAGGATTTTAATTCATATCTTATAATCGTATAACTAAGGATGTTTCCAAAATTGACTAGTCATCAATTGCCTGATCGAAAGGGCCCAATGATTTCCACGATACGGAAAACACGGATGGAAGCACAGAATCCAGTATTAAAAATGGATTTTACCTGTATATAACATGGAGTGTCACAGAATGCGTCAAAATTTGGATTAATAAATCAAAAGTAGGGCTAAACACTTGATCAAATCGCTAGATAGGCTTGTAAAAGCTCGAAGCGAAGCGATGTCACACGTTTTTTAGGCCCAAACTTTTTTTTTTTTGTCACATACAGCAAACATCTCCTCACTATCCGCTAGCTGCCACAATTTTTGATAATACATTTGTATTAAATCATTAACAGAATCCATAAGAATTAAAACGTACAACAGAATTTCTGGGAAAAAAATAAAACAATTCATAGGGTACTATTATTGTTTGAATTTTAATATATTGTTAAACATTGTTTAAATTCAAGTCATTAGATATCCTTTATGACTACTAAAACGGAATCCAAACATTTTTTATGAAAAACACGGGAATTGGGAAATAATAAAAACATGCGTGGGGAAACATTTATTTCATAAGGCCCTGCTGAAGTATAGTTCAAAATCCTCTAATCAGTTGGTAGTTGTGGAACTGTCAAGACCAATCCCTACTTATAACTTGCATCTGTTTTTCTTTTTCACCGCTTAACTCCTCCATTAACTGTAGTTTCAAGATGACGTAGGGGGTCAGGAAGAAGACGCACATGAAGAAGAAGAGGAAAAAGAGGAAGAGGAGAGTCCTCTGCAAGAGCCGCCTGGCATTATGGAGAATATTCAGTATGTCCATCCTCAGTTTCACAGCCACCACATCATATTTTTAGATGACACAACTGATATACAATTGCACTTTGCTGTGTGTAGGTATGAGGACCCGTTAGCAGATGTGTTGAAGCAGCGCTATCGTACAGTACGGGAGCAGCTGGCGGCTGTGAGGAAACGGAAGGCTCTGCTGAAGAGTAAAGGAGTATCTGGACCTCCAGTCTGCCCTCAACACACTTCCATCCCCATAACATCCATGACCCTGAACACAGCTCAGAAACTACAGCTACAGCAGCAGATCCAGCAGGTCTACAAAGATTTGGTCAATTGAAAGAACTATTAAGAGTTTCTTCTTTGACTATTAAAGGGGTCATGAACTGGCGTTTTAAATTGTATTATATTTTTGTCTGAGGTCAACTTATGACGTTCGCTTGGTTTTTGCATTCAAAAAACATCAAAATGAATAAGTAATAGGCTATTTTCTACCCTAGTTTTGAGCCTAGCTGAAAAATGCTGGGTTTTTATGGGCGTCTCGCACTGAGAACTGGATAACAGTTTTGCGTATTATGAGTTTCATCTCACCCATCTTGTTTACAAAACAATCCTCAGTGAAATTAAGCGAACAGACGACGATGTTTTACCTCATTAGCTGGAATGTCATTAAAAATAAAGTTTAACCAAGCAGTCCTATTGGAATCCAGAGGACGCTTATGCAACGACTGTCTTCTTCCACAACCAGGCACTGCACAATATTTGTATTGCTCGGTAGCTCGACCCCGTTTGTCATCACAAGGTAGGAATCTATGTTATTTAGCTATGCGTGAATGCGCAAATCGGTGGGCGGGGCTAAACCGGCCATGTTGATCTTGTTCTTCTGCGGGGGTGGTGACGTCATAGTTCCCCACTTTGAAAAACGAGTCGTTTGCTGAGCCTTGTGCTGACCCAAGGATGTTTTCAGTTCTGAAACTTACAGGATATTCTTATAATATGATGACCTCTTAGATGTCAAAAGCTCAAGGAAAATTTGATTTCTCAGTTCATCACCCCTTTAATAATCATATTCTTCATGTTTTTGAGATGTTTGGGATTTTTTTATTCATAGGTTTTTCTCTGGCTTTCTTTGTTTTTGTTTGTCCTGCAGCATGTGCAGCTCCTCACGCAGTTGAACATGTTGAGCAGCTCAGTCAAGGGTCTGGAGACAGAAGCTTCAACAAGCAGACAGTTCCTGGTTAGACATGCACACACATTTCAGAAACACCCCAGGATGTACACAGATGCATGTTAATATCGTGTTAATATCGTCTCTCAGTTGGAGCTGCAGATGTTTGCCCTGCGCGGAGAGCAGACTTGCGGTCCAGCAGAGCACGGCTTCACCAGCATCTTTAAATCCTGCAACCTTCAGGGTGCTATTTCTCTGCTGGAGGAACTAGATCAATCACCCAAGGGTGACCCTACAGCCCCGAGGCCATGTTTTCCTGGTAATTTATCTAAATGTGGCTGCCTTTGTATACGCACAACCGGCACATCCGGGAACTTAACTGTCAATTTTGTCCCCGCCCACTTTTGGGGGAAACAAACTAGACTCCCCATAGACTTCAATACAAAATAACGGCAAAAACCAATGTCCGTACACAGCCGACAGGCGTAAATAACTTAAGAAATCACTTGTATAAAACATGTCTAGTAATTATAAGTCCACCCGTCCATCATTCAGGGGCTTACCTGGTGACTCGATGAGGTACAATTAAATGGCCACTGGGTGGGGTTGTTACACCAATTTTACGCTGGGAGAATAAAGAGAGAGAGTAAAGAGAGAAGTGTCTTTAAATTGGCCAAATTAAGTTTGTGTATGTATCTTTCACGCTCTATGGCAGGCAGGGTGGACATATAATTACTTGACATGTTTTATATAAGTGAGTTTAAGATATTTACGCCTGTCGGCTGTGTACGGACATTGTTTTTTTGCTGTTATTTTGTATTGAAGTCTATGGGGAGTCTAGTTTGTTTTCCCCCAAAAGTGGGCGTGAACCTATTCAGAGACATTCTATGACGCAGCGCCGGTTGTGCGTACACTCTCATGTATTCAGTTCATCTGAAAGCCAAATAGTTTTAGTCAATGTGAGTTAAACTAAAGCTAAAGAAGTCTTACTTTCACTCACCATCTGATTGTAGTAGGAATTGAGAAACAAAAACACTGTTGCACACTTTTTTTTGCCAATTGTAACTGGGAACTTTCTAGCGTTAATCTTTTTGCTCTTTGTTTGCTTGTTTAATTGTGTAGGATGTCAGATTCCTGCTCCTTTGGCCTGGTTGATGGCGACTCGGCCAGTGTTTCTCTACCCAGAACTGCTTCCTTCAATCCAGCTACGACCTTCTAGATTCAAAGCACAGTTTACTTCAGCAGAAGATTGGTACTACACTCACGCATCAACCTGAATCATTATACATTCTTTAAAAAGGTACTCAACCAACACTCCTTTACTCTGTCATCAGTCTTGTTGTTCTAGGTCATAAGCACTTAAGAACTACCCTACACCCACTGCAGATGACCTGTCGCTATCTGCTTGCTGCTAGAACCGTTGTCAGTTTGAAATCACACATCCGTGATGCATGTCATAAGCCCTTTCCCAATGTCATCAAGGTGAGTGAATGAACACAGAATATAGGAACAATTATCATGACATTGTGGCAGTGTGCTTCAGCATTCTTCAGAGGCTGTTTTATGCTATGCTGGGGTTCAAATGATGCTTATATAATGTAATAATGTTGGTTAATGTGATTGAAAGTGAGCCTTATAGATTAGAGGGAAGAAATATGTAGGCTCACTTTTTTCAGTACTCGATTATGACTACACGCATACTGTGCATGTATTAAAGTATACAGATTTGCTATATGCATATTTATTGCAGAACTATACATTTCACCACATTTCAAGCTAGAATTGAACACAGGTCAGATTTCGATCAGACACTGATCAGATAACACAGAAGTATCTCCAAGTGTGAATCTGTGACCTAAGTGTGAACCTTTTGGGGTTTTTTTGCATGTTTTTCAGACATACTTTTTGGCGGGGAAATGCCCCTCCATGCCCTTGGCCTGTAAGAGGGTGAGTCCTTGTGACCAGCGCCCCCCAGTGGAGAGAGAAAAGAGCCTCATGCCTGATTGGCTCTCGGTATTACTGCCTTTTATCTTGCTCTGTTTTTGTAAATCCTTCTGTTCTTAATTTTCTGTTTCTACCAAGTGGTGAAAAATCTGATTTATATGTAATCTGTAAACTTTCTCTCCTGTAGAAAAACCTTAAGTGCATTTATGAGCATGTAAGAACATTTAACCAACCATCTGGAAACTCTCAAACTACCGAATCTCCCGGTCCAGGACCAGACTATAGTTTTACTTCAGGCATGTGTTACCCTCCCAGCCTTCCTGAAGACCTTGCTAAGGCACTTGTGCATGGTCCATGCAAAAAGAAGAAAAACAAGACTGCTAAATCCATCAAGCCTTTAAAACCTCCCCTGTTAGCTGAGAAACTAGAGTTGGTTCTCAACCAGTTTCCAACACTTTTACCAAAAGCTGTTACGGTTTCAGAGGATGTTGCACCGAATCTATGCTCGTCTGGAAATAAAACTATGAAGGGGCCTGTAGAGAGAGCGATCATACTATCTAGCCTGTCAAACGTGTCTCCAGTGGGACGAAACCAAGGTGGTGCAGTTGTCTCTTTACAGACTCATCCAGACGCACCTGTACTGAGGGCTGTTCCTGTGAAAAATGCTGTAGAAACTCCTACGGGTGTCTCTGGTTCTCCAAAGAGAGCTCAAGTTGATGCAACCCAGGGAGGCGTAATCATCACTTTACCTGCTGCTATGACACCAGAGATGAATTTCTGTCCTTCAGGGCATGTAACTGTGAACCAAACTGCACAAATAGTCACCTCTAACATTGAACCAGCCACTCCTAGAGGGTCAAACCTCATCATTACTCTTCAACCGCCTCCAGTTCCCAACACCATAATATGTCCCACCCCAATCATAAAGACGAACGCCCCATTGTCTAAAGATCATGTCAGTCAGCGCTGTGGCACACTACTTAAACTTATACCGAGGGACTCTGGTGGTCTACCTCAAGAATATCAAAAACCTCTTAATCGGTTTCTTCTCCTCCCTCCAGGCTATGTGTTTGCAAGCAGTAGCTTCGGCCATCAAACCTTAAAACACTCATCAGCTCTGAATAGCACTAAGATAAAACACAGTGCGCAAAAGAGAACTCCAGATCATTTCCACAGCGTTGATCGGCCACAAGGAGGACCATTACAGATGTCCTCCGTTCAAGATTGCTTACAAGAAACTGCATTCGCAGAAGAAGAGCTGAATGTTGAGGATGGAGTTGAGAATGAGGTAGAAGAGTATGGTGAGAAGGACTCCAGAGAGCTGTTTCTCACACTTTCTGAATCCTCTGGGAGCCCGACGCCCAGCATCGATGGGGAAGATGCCGACATGGAGATGGTTTTGGGCAGGGGAGAGAAACTAGAGGAGCTGAAAGCAAAAGAAAGGCAAGGTACCAGTAGGCAGACTGGGGAGGAGGAAACAGGTGGAGCTGACAATGTTTCAGAACTTCAGGTGAGATAATTTTTATTTTTTTTCCTGACATTAATGAACTGAATACTCATTTTGTAAACCTTACAAAGCGCTTTCTCTCTCTCTCTCTCTGCGTTTTAAGAACCTGTCGATAATTTATTAATTACTATTTTATATAAGTTACTATTTTTTCGATTTACTTTAAATATAAATGATATTATGATAAAATGGTCAAATAAAATTGTTTTAAATTGTCATAAAGATATGTTAAGGTCCTTTGCACACAGTCCGAAATTCAACAAATAAATACGACTTCACGTTGTCACGCAACATTTACTCACTGCCTCAGAAACTTTGTCCGTCATAAAAATTTTGCGATCAGGCTCAAATTTCTGCAAGCATTTTGAGAGGTATTTTGACAATTCAGAGCCACCGAATTTCGAATACGAAAATTTCGGACTGTGCTAGGACCTTTACATTGCAAAAACTGTAGAAATTCTAAAAGTATGCATAATTTTCTTTATGCAAAATAGAATGTGTTCTTTTTTTTCTTTTGAGGTAAAATATGAACATGATGTGTTCTCATGAGATTCATCCAGTAAAAGCTGGAGTTCCCATTTGTATTTATGAGACTTTTTCATGTAATTAATTAACCATATCATTGTAAACACCAGGAAACCATGGAGAAATTATCACACATGGCCACAAAGACAAGATCTGAAAATGAAGGAATACCAGATGATGTTAAATGTAACCATCAACCTTCAGGTCAGTGCAGTCATTAAATAGGTGTGCATCAAAACAAGATGTAAATGATTTCAGCACATTCTGTAGCTGGAAAAATAGCTGTAATAGTAAGAGAGCACATTCACAGAAATGCTAATATATTATGTGCAAATGTCCCTGTTAATCTAAATTGAATGAATGTGGCAATCTCAGGTGCCCATCGTACCCACACCAAGGAGATGGCTGAGGAGACCCCTTTTGTCTTTCACAATGGTGCACCTGATGACGATCCCTACAGAGACGCTAAAGATGTTGCCTTTGCCCAAGCTTACCTGGAGAAGGCAAGAAATATTTGGATAATAATATTTTTAGAATTGCAAAGTATTTCTGCCTGTCCGATTTTACTTATTCCTGTCTGTCTCCAGGTGTTTGAGGTGCTGCAGATGGTGCCAGGGAAGGTGGACGAGTTCCTGTGTGTTCTGTCTGAGTTTGAGAAAGATCCAGAAAGTCGCACATCACTCGAGCTGCTGACGAGACTCAAGCCTGTGCTGAGCGACTGGCCTGAACTGCTTCAAGATTTTGCAGCTTTCCTGCATCCGGATCAAGCCAGAGAGTGCGGCATGGTTAGAGGAGAATCAACAATACTTTCATATGCATGGCTGAATGTAGCACACGATCATAAATGTTCAAGTTTCATGGTACAAATGTGATGCTGTTCTTAATGTGTCACTTTAGCTGGCAGAACAGCAGGCGTTTGAGCGCAGCAGACGGTTTCTACGCCAGCTGGAGTGTACTTTTGGAGAGCAGTCAGCTCTCTACAGAAAGATGGTGCATATTTTACAAAGGGGTCCATCACAGGATCTTGCTGACTTTGAAGAGGTACCAAAAAGGACACAAGCAAACAAACAGTTCTACCGTCTTGAAGCATTTTAGCATGTCTTCTCTTTCTTTTTATTTTCAGATAAAAACTCAAATAACATCGCTGTTCCGTGATCACACTGACTTGCTAGAGAAATTCTGGGAATTTTTTAAACAGCTATACCCCCAAGTGCAAGACGAGGATCGTGCAGACAATGTGGAAATTAATCAGGGCTTGGAAGAAAGCCAGTCCTATCAGCCAATCAAAATTGTCATACCAGATAATAAAGTGGAAACCGCTATTAAACATAGAAGAAAAAAAGACAGACATGCTCAGGTACCACAACTCCTCTTATGGGTCACTTTTCCTATATATTCAATGTCTATAGAGATTTCAAGCTACCTGAAATTCTGATTTTTGTTTTTTTTATTAATTTTTTATCTAACATCTTTTACCTAATCCTCATCTCTCTCAGAAGGCAGAAATAAAAAAGAACAAGGTCAAGAAAAACAGAGTTGGAACAGAGTTGGAAAAGAAGGCAGCTGAAGCTTCTTCAGTGGACGGTCAACAGTCTTTATCTAATGCCACAGGAAGCTCAGTCTGTGCCAAAAATATCTCCCGCACACCAAATGGAAAAAAAGTAGTCCTCTGGACGAGGTTAGAATTGTTGTGCAACATTCATGTCTGAAATTACAAAATACTTTCTTTTCTTTTTTTATTTATTTTCAGAAATATTTTTGCTATTATCAGGGTTGTGTGCCATTCAGAACTGAATTGGGAAGGCCCTTCAAGACCTTAATTTAAACAGAGGCAGCATACAGGATGTATAATTGAAATTTATATTTGAGATTAAGAATATAGATAAATTCATGTGCTGTAAATTCTTCACATATGGTCTCACTTTTGGATCCATTACATTATTTTTAAAATCAATTTTTCTACTAATAGAAATGTGTATAAATCAATGTATTTAGACATTCATTTTGTATTTATTTTATAACATTAATAATGTTACAAAAATTTTTATTTCAAATTGATGCAATTATTTTGAACTTTCTATTCAAAGAATCCACAAAAAAAAAAAAAGAATATTGAATCATGTAGTGGTGGCTTCAAATTCAGCTTTGCCATCACATTTTAAAATACATTTACATATAAATGTTTTTTAATCATAATCATATTTCACAAGATTACTGTCTTTTACTGTATTTTTACAGCATAAGAGACTTCTTTCCAAAACATTGACAAAAAAATTGTACTGACACTAAACTTTGAACTAGAGCCCGACCGATATATATACAGTATATATATATATATATATATATTTTTTTTTTTTTTTCAGAAATATGCAACAAAACATTAACAGATTTCCCTAACATTAGTTATTTATGAGTTTTAACTAAAATAATATGATAATGCATGGTTGAAGCGTCTTTCATCCGTTTTTATTTTATTTTTAAAATATTCATTTATCGGCCATTATAAATGCCGATACCGATAGTTTGGAAAATGCCTAATATCGGCCTGCCGATAAATCGGTCTGGCTTTACTTTGAACAGTAGTGTCTCATGGAGTAAATTGTAAAAATGAGTCCAGATGGATTATTTCTATCACTTGTGGTGGACGATCATAATTTGTGCCAGTGTTTCTTAAAATTACTGATCAGCAATTCTTCTTTCTGTCTATTAAATTCAGCATCCTATGGATTGTGGCCTATTCTATTCAAATCCACAATAATTATTTGAACGGAAGCTAATGCTTATTTTCTGATTCTTGTGCAACCCTGTTTTTTATATAGCTAGCTGACTTAGCTGTGCCAAAGTGTGAAGTTCTAACACAGATTTAAATATATATTCATGTTATAAAATAAATGTATCTGTGTTTTGTTTGTGTGATGATAAGGGAGGCAGACCATGTAATACTGACCACCTGTCAGCGGAGAGGAGCCAAGCCAGCCACGTTTAATGCCATCGCAGCCCAACTTGGCAACAAAACAGCCAATGAGGTCTGAGCTCTTTCTTTCATGTTTAGATGCTTTTTCTCACAAAGATCATGTCTGAGTCATATTTCACTTCATTTTATCAATGCCAATATTTCTTATTTTATTTTGGGGCAAAATATGTTCTTTATTTTCATTGTCAGTGTGCGGTAATTCATCTTATCCAGTGTTTGCTGTAGTCAGGTCAACCATTATAAGTCACATTTTAGTAAACCAACCCATTATGTTTTTTTTTTTTTTTTTCTCTTTAGGTTTTTGAGCGCTTTCAAGACCTCATTAAGTTGTTCCGCAAATCCAGCAAGTTACATCACACAAACTAATTGGACACAAAGCTACAGTCCGGTACAATAGAAGATGATCCAGCCTGAGATTGAACAGGCTGGTTTGAGAACAATTTGAACAGTGAGGGCAGGCTGGACCTGCTGCCTGAATTGATTCAGTAACAATGTTTTTGTGTTACTTGAACATAAATCACATCATATAGTATTAGGAAATGAGTTATCCTTGGGACAAGATATAGTTATGATTCTATTTTCTCAAGGCATGAAATATTGTGGAATTATTATTTATGTTATTTTTATAAATAACAGACAGTGAAGTGTCTTAATTATTATTCATATTGTTCACCGTTAAAATTATTACAAATGTATGAATTGTTATTGTATAATTTTATGTAAAGCAATATCACAAAATAAATTATTTAATTTATTATCGTGAAATCGAGTATTATTTTTTGTTCGTTTGAGTGTAATACGAGTCTCCCAGGAGGAGCTTTGATTGACAGAGAAATTCACCAATGACCGTTTTACATCTCATCAGCTGGAGAATTCCTAGCCAATCATCTCCTACTTCAGTGACACATTGTGTTTTCATCCCGCCCCTCGCACGGGCAAAGGCATATCGGTGGAAATCGCCCGGCAAGAGCGGTTTTTTTAGTTCAGTTTTGGTTTCTGAATTTGGAGAAGTATTCTCTATTCGTTCCCTGATGGATAATTGTCTATTACTCGGGGTTTTATGTGTGTTGGTTGTTTGTATGTTGAGCTCGTCAGCGCGTGGACGCGGTGATGTGCTTGAGCTCACAGACGCGGACTTCGATTACCTCGCGTCCGAGCAGGAGACAATGCTGGTGAAGTTTTATGCTCCATGGTGAGAGAATAATGTTTCATTCACACACAAATGTGGAATTAAGAACATTTTATTGTAAAAGAGTGCTTGGTTGCATTTGCAACTCGCCGTACAGTGCTGCTGAATGTGATGGCGTGAGCTGTCCATGGTGCCTACATACAACTGACAGTTGCGATGCAAGCTCGGCTCTCATAAGAACATTTGTTCATGTTCATAAAGCGTTTTAAGATTTTAGGAAAACCCTCAGTACTGGGATAAGTATAACTATATTTATTTATCCATTGTTCTATTATAAGTAAATTATTCAGCAGCATTGTTGTCATTTATTCCATAAATCCCAGCAGTTTTTGATTGTTTTGCTGCTCTGTTTTGTTTTCAGGTGTGGCCACTGTAAGAAACTCGCCCCAGACTTTGAAAGTGCAGCTACTCGACTGAAGGGAACAGTAACTTTAGCCAAGGTGACTATAGTAGAAGGAGGAAATCACAATATCTGAATCTCTTGGCTATGTTCTGAGTTCAATATAAATTAGGCTCTTTTTAAAATGTGACATGCTGCCAATTAACACATAAACAGTTATAAAATTTGGGGAAGCAAAAACTGTTTTCTGTTTACATTGCTCTTACAGTGGAGGTCAGTAGGGCAAGACATTGTCCTGGGATAAATGTTAAAATGCACACAATTTTGTAATCATTAAATCCCGATTTGTGTGTGTAAAGTTATTTAAATCTTTTAACATCTGTCATGAGTCATGACTGTGTAAAGCGCTGACTTTCACACAATGTGTGCAAGGACATCAGAAAGAGTAAAAGCCAACCACACATAAAATCATCCTCCCCGTTTAGATGGCTCAATTAACACCTTTAATGTTGGAGAATGAATATAATTATTTTAACAAAAATGCAGGCTACACTTTTCTATCTTTAAAACCGCTGTAACATTTCCCCCCATCCACTTTCATATTTAGTGCTTTAATATAAATGCAATTTTTGCTTTTACAAAATTAGTTGAACATTATTTTTTTTCTGTGGTGATCACAAGCACCGGTATTTTATTGGTAGAGCAATTTACTTGATTTAAACCAGCAACATTTGTTTAATGGAAACTGATCTTATGATCCAATATTAAGGAGCCTCATGTGATAAGGGTAATGTTTATAAGTAGAGATTGCATGTTCTTCAGATGGTTTAAGGATGTGTGCCATTCTTTGTTCAGGTGGACTGTACTTCTAATACAGAGACCTGTAAGCACTATGGGGTTACCGGATACCCAACACTCAAAATATTTCGGAATGGACAGGAATCATCATCGTATGATGGTCCACGCTCAGCTGGTATTTGTTTTAAGGTTTCCTGTATCATTTCAAATGATCTGTGCCATGAATGCAAATGCAACTTGGCTGCGGATGTCATAGTGGATGTATCATTTTCAAACAGATGGAATTGTGAACTATATGAAAAAACAGGCCGGACCTGATTCTGTGCCTCTGCAAAGTGAGCATGACCTGGAGAACTTTATAAACAACTTTGATGCCAGTGTAGTTGGTAAGTGCATTTTATTGGCTTTTATTTGTTTGAACTTACTCTGAAATTATATATATGTATATATATGTATATATATATATATATATCTTGTGTAAATTCAAAATATGTAATACACTCTTAATGTAATAGTGAAATTTTATATTATGTACATTTATGTATAAATGTATAAATTCAGTAGATGGATGGATGGATGGATAGAGTTGTCATTGTGTGGGGACATTGAAATGGCTTGCTTCCCACAAAATTCAAAGTTGTTATCTAAAGAAGAATGATCAGATGTTATTTTCGACAAGATAATGCTCCCGCCCAAGTTGCAAAGACAACCAAGAAGTGGCTTGAGAAAAAGTCGATCAGACTAATTTTTTTGCTTGGTCAGAGTCCAAATTTGAACCCTATAGTAAATATTTGGTCTCATTTTAAACTCATACGAACTGGGAGACATTTTTTCAACTACTAATAAAGTGATTGAAGCAATTGACATTGAATGGAACAACACTGACTCCTGTAAAAAGCATCCTTGCGAGCTGGGGAAGGCTATTCCGTGCTAAGCTACTTTCTCTAAAGTATTTGTGCAGTAACAGTTCTTGTTCATTTCCTGGCCAGTGGTTAAAATGGTTTAGAACATTTTTGCCCAGGAGTGTGGATGGAAAGATAGATGAGCACAATACATATTTTATTATTAATGTCTTGCATCATTTCTTTTCTCTGTCCGTCTCTCAGGGTTCTTCTCAGGGACTGGCAGCTCTCAACTCGCAGAGTTTCTTAAAGGAGCCAATTTAATGAGGGACAGTTTCCGCTTTGCCCACACGACAGACCTCCAACTTGGAAACAAATTTGGCGTCACATACGAGTAAGCAATGGGAAGAACTTCAACTGGTGGGTCTTGTCCCAAAAACCGAGTCACGGGTCTGTTCTAATAGGGGAAACAGCAGTCGGAAAACAATGATAAAAGCAAATCAACTTATAAAAACATTTTTTTTAAACCATTTTAAAAATCTTACCGACCCCAAACTTTTATGGAGGATCACAAATGTTTATGGAGACCCTAAAGCGACATATCAAATATGAGTTGGAAGGATATTTCAAAATTGAAAATAAGTTGAAAATATATTTCAAAACTTTTGCTTTCCTCAGGGAAACAAAAGTTTTTAGAGCATTTCAAGAATGCAAAGTTTCTCAAACGCAAAACATTTGCGGGAGAATGCAAACTCGTTGACAAAATTTTTCCATCACCATTTACATTTAAGGGCTCTGTAAATGGCAGTGTAAATGTATAATAAATACATATATTAAATAAATAAATGTAAATAAATAAATATAGACTGTCATCTTAATTTTCAATATCACTGGATATTTTGATTTTAATAATTAATATTTGATGTTAAAGACAATTTTGTTCACTTTGGTTTTGGTAAGTAAAATCTGAATTCTGAAACAATACCAGCTGAGAACCAGTGTTCTGAACCAAAGCTGACGGTTAAGCTTTGTGTTCCGGATAAATAAATAAAAAAGATTTATATAAAAATTATTATGCACTATAAAAAAATCTGTAAACACTCTGCCGGCAGGTCTGTGCTTCTATTCCGCCCCCCCAGACTGAGCAGTAAGTTTGAGGAGAGTGTGGTGCACCACAGAGGCTCAATGTCCGTCACAGGTCTGCGGCGCTTCATCAGAGACAACATGTGAGCAAACACTGATGCGCCGCACACTTGCACATAAGAAACGCATAGAGAGCAGGTGCTGACATGTTGATTGCTTTTGCTCTGTAGTTTTGGCATTTGTCCTCACCTGACCAAAGAGAATAAGGATTCGTTTAAAAAGAGGGATTTGTTGACTGCCTACTATGACTTGGATTATCTTCGCAATGCCAAAGGCTCCAACTATTGGAGAAACAGGTGGGTCATTCAGAATCAGTGAACGAACATGTTTATTAGAGTCATAAAGTACAACTGCCAAATCCTAAAAAGTTGGGACATTTTGTAAAAAGTTATAATATTAAGAATCTGGGGATTGTTCATTTTTGTTAGTGCAAAGACAACATGTCCAATGTTTTCACTGGTCATATTAATTGTATTTTGAGAATATAAACAAATTTTGATTTTGATGGCTGCAACACACTCCAAAAAAGTTGGGACAGTGGCAACAATAAAAATATAATAAAAAAAATTGTCTTTAAGTTGGTCATTGCTAACTTTGAAAAATAATTTCTTTGTACTATTTGACAAAATGTCCCAACTTTTCTGAATTTGAGGCTGTACTTATCTGTCCTTCTCTGTCCCAACTACTTTTAGAGTGCTAAAGGTGGCGTCTAAGTTCAGTTCTCAGGGCTTGTTGTTTTCTGTGGCGAACCGTAATGACTTTATGGAGGAGCTTGAAGGTGAGTTTGGTCTGGGTCCGTCAGATGGAGCTGAGCTGCCGTTTGTCACCATCAAGACACGAACAGGAAACAAATACACCATGCGGGAGGAGTTTACGTGAGTACAAGCACTGCATTATGATCCTGTTTTAAGGGTTTAGAGCTTTTTTTTCTTTTTTTTCAAAGCATTCTGCATTGGTACAAGCATCAACACCCAAAACATCATATTTCATTTTCAACCGAGAAACCGAAGCGTGGAGTAATCTGATCACTCTGATGTGTCATCAGTTGTTTTCTTAAAACTTTTTAAATAGTGTATTATATTATATTTCTTGCATGTAATATTAGAACTTTGTTATTTAGTAAATTAAAATAATACATTGCAATTAATAATTTTTTTCCTCAAATGCTCTTCTTTTAAAAATGCAGTGCACTAACTTTTAGCTCTTTTCCCTGCAACTTTTTTAGCAAAAAGTTGCCAGCCAGCACCGACATTTTTGATTAAAAAGAAATAACAGAGCCTTTGCTTTTAAATTGTATTGTATTTTTTTTAAGCTGAGAAAATCGTTTCGTCAAAGACTACAACTTGTATGAGCAGTGCATCCATCACTTATTTCTGTGATTTGATCCAGAGATTCTTTCAGAAGGCGTGTAATAGCGCCTCCTATTAGATGATAGCAGTGATGATAGCAGTTTCAATGGAAAATTCAATCAATGGAGGGGAAAGAGTTAGTGTTCACATTAGAGAAACAAATCAGTGTTAAAAAAATAATCTCAAAAGTTATTACACTATTGTTCCAAAGTTTGAGTTTATTATTGCTTTCATGTTATGTTATGATGCATTAAATTGATTAAAAGTGTCAGTAAAATAATAATTTCTTTTTAAATACTATTTGAAATACATGCTGTTCTTTTGAACTTTCTACTTATCAAAGAATGGTGGTTTCCCTAAAAATGTTAGATGTTTTCTATATTGATTATAATAAGAAGAAATGTTTCTTAAACAGCTAAATCAGCATATTGGAATGATTTCTGAAAGGATCATGTGACTGAAGACTGGAGGAATGATGCTGAAAATTCAGCTTTACCAACACAGGAATAAATTACGTGTTAAAATATATTCAAATAGAAAACTTTCATTGAAATATTACTGTTTTACTGCATCTGTAGCATAAGCCATTATCATACTTAAATATATTAACATATTAATAAGACCGTTATCATAACATTGTTGAAATAAAATAATATTCTTCATTTAGCTCTATCACACTCGTACTGCATTTTGGTTTGTTATAGGCCTTCAAGGTCAGTGTGATTTTTTTTTTTATTATGTCTGGTTTTAACTGTAAACCCTGTTTAACTGTAAATGGCCCCTCCTCAGACGAGATGGCAAGTCTTTAGAGAGTTTTCTGGAAGATTATTTTGCTGGGCGACTAAAGCGCTATGTCAAATCAGAGCCTGTGCCTGCCAAAAACAACAGTCCGGTCAAGGTTAGTGAGTCTTCGTTTACAGTAGTCTTCATTTACAGTATCACTTCAGGCATTAACTGGAGTTGATGTTTGTGGGCAGGTGGTTGTGGCGGATACGTTTGAAGAGATTGTGAATGACCAAGAGAAAGACGTGCTTATTGAGTTTTATGCTCCATGGTGTGGCCATTGTAAAAAACTGGAGCCAAAATATACAGAGCTTGGAGAACAGGTGAGTTTTACAGACTTTATCTGTAAATGACTTCTATCTCTTTCTGAATTTCTTCTGATCCTGTTTTTCTGTTTTTTTGATGGTCTTGTATGACTCTTAGCTGTACAGTGATCCCAATATTGTAATTGCCAAGATGGATGCAACTGCCAATGATGTCCCACAGGGCTATGATGTGCAAGGGCATGTATTCACATCTCATCACTCATCCTCAAATCTTTTGTTCATCTTAGTATCCATAGTTAATGTTTTGTTATTCTTTTGCAGATTTCCTGCAATATATTTTGCCGCTGCTGGACGGAAGAATGAGCCAAAACGATACGAGGTAATGTTTATTTCAACCATCTTATGGTGTGTGTATGACATGCCAATTCGTATTTCCATTTTTGGCGTGCTATCAACACGCATAATCACTTTTCAGCGTGTTTATGAACGCCGTTGTTCCCTTACCATCCTAGGAAAAAAAAAGATAGCTCCCCAGATGTAGATCTACATTTTGCTTTGTTTCGCTCGGACATTTGACGGCGTGTACAGACACGCGTAATCACTCGGACATTAATGGCGTAGACATACACGCGGATAGCTCAAAATGCGTAGAGATAACACGCCACTTGACTCGAAAATGGCGTGTATGTTTACGCAAAAGTCATGATGTCATGTTGAACATGGCTATCATGTTCATATATTTGTCATTAAGAACATTAATTCTTTGTATTTTGGGCATCACCTTTTAGGGACCCCGTGAAGTAAAGGATTTCATCAGCTTCCTGAAGCGCGAGGCGTCCAATCCTCTTGTTCTAAACGGAGTCAAGGAAGAGCTGTAAACATTAAAGGGAAATTTGTTGTATTTTGTGATTTTTTTTTTTTTTTTTTGTTCATAAAAAGTGGAGAATTCTGCTATGGCTCAGCCATGCGTATCAAATCAAATGAATTGGCAACATTAAAAAAAAATTACAATTTTCTCTAATTTATCCCCCTCAGACCTGAATTATCTTTCTAGTTTCTGAAAAATATGAAAGTACATTTTCCCAACTCATGAGGTTTCTATAAATGAAAACAAATGAATTTTTTTTTATATTATTGCTTTCATTGTGATTTTTTTTGTCCATTCCAATGGACATCAGGTCACAATAGGTGTACTTCCCAAAAATGTACCAACATGAAATAAATTAATAAACATAAAATTTGTTGGTCTATACTTTAAGCTTTTTCTCAAGGTCAAAAAAATTCCAGCAGTATACCATTTCAACTATAATTTTGAGGTTTTTGTTTTACAGATTGCACATTGTTTGTAACAAACTAAATATCTTCGAATCAATAAATCTGGTCATAGTAGTCATTTTCTGTGTGCATCTTTCTTTTTTTAGAACAAAAACTTGAACATTATAACTTTACAACTTTAATCATAAGGTTTTTCCTTTATATTGCACATTTGTTTATTCATAACAAAATAAACCTAGGAATCAATCAATGCATTCATGTTAGTCATTTCCTGTGTGCATCCTGTGTTTTCTTGTATTTTTACAGTACTGGCAGGACGGATGCCAGCAAGTCACTGTATTTCGATTTCCAGTAACTCTAGCTAGCCACTATTTGTCCAATAACCCACTATATTTACCAAATGTCCTGGGACCACTCCCGGGCCACGCCCCCGTCCCACGAACCCACTATTTGTCCAATAAACCACTATATCTTTTCAAGTTTTTCCGCAGTTCATTCAATATGCTGCAATTGGACGCGGTCCCACCGGCAATCTATTGAATGGGGATTCGGGTAGTGTTTTTGATAGACATTTTAATTAAAATTCCTGTCGTGAAAAACACTATTTTACCACACTCAGGAGGCTCCCCGGGGTCCGTAGCACCAAGCGCCATCCCATAATTCCACTGTCCACGAACCCATTATTTGTCGAAAGGGGTAACACTGTCGTTTTTTGTTTTTTTTTGGTGCGAGAAAATTAGTTTCTCCAACTCAGGTCTAAGTCTCATGGCCCTCTATCAGAATCCAGAGTTTTGGGAAGATCGGAAAAACTTAATTTTTCGCCCGAAAAAAAAAAAACGTAAGGGGTACCACTGTCGTTTTTTTTTTCGGGCCGAATTTTTGAGTTTCGATATCTCAGCTCTGGAAGGGGCTAGAGCCTCCATTTTTGCACTCAGGTCTAAGTCTCATGGCCCTCTATCAGAATCCAGAGTTTTGGGAAGATTGGAGAAACTTAATTTTTCGCCAAAAAAAAAAAAACGTAAGGGGTACCACTGTCGTTTTTTTTTCGGGCCGAATTTTTGAGTTTCGATATCTCAGCTCTGGAAGGGGCTAGAGCCTCCATTTTTGCACTCAGGTCTAAGTCTCATGGCCCTCTATCAGAATCCAGAGTTTTGGGAAGATTGGAGAAACTTAATTTTTCGCCCAAAAAAAAAAAAACGTAAGGGGTACCACTGTCGTTTTTTTTTTCGGGCCGAATTTTTGAGTTTCGATATCTCAGCTCTGGAAGGGGCTAGAGCCTCCATTTTTGCACTCAGGTCTAAGTCTCATGGCCCTCTATCAGAATCCAGAGTTTTGGGAAGATTGGAGAAACTTAATTTTTCGCCCCAAAAAAAAAAAAACGTAAGGGGTACCACTGTTGTTTTTTTTCGGGCCGAATTTTTGAGTTTCGATATCTCAGCTCTGGAAGGGGCTAGAGCCTCCATTTTTGCACTCAGGTCTAAGTCTCATGGCCCTCTATCAGAATCCAGAGTTTTGAGAAGATTGGAGAAACTTAATTTTTCGCCCAAAAAAAAAAACGTAAGGGGTACCACTGTCGTTTTTTTTTCGGGCCGAATTTTTGAGTTTCGATATCTCAGCTCTGGAAGGGGCTAGAGCCTCCATTTTTGCACTCAGGTCTAAGTCTCATGGCCCTCTATCAGAATCCAGAGTTTTGGGAAGATTGGAGAAACTTAATTTTTCGCCCAAAAAAAAAACGTAAGGGGTACCACTGTCGTTTTTTTTCGGGCCGAATTTTTGAGTTTCGATATCTCAGCTCTGGAAGGGGCTAGAGCCTCCATTTTTGCACTCAGGTCTAAGTCTCATGGCCCTCTATCAGAATCCAGAGTTTTGGGAAGATTGGAGAAACTTAATTTTTCGCCCAAAAAAAAAAACGTAAGGGGTACCACTGTCGTTTTTTTTTCGGGCCGAATTTTTGAGTTTCGATATCTCAGCTCTGGAAGGGGCTAGAGCCTCCATTTTTGCACTCAGGTCTAAGTCTCATGGCCCTCTATCAGAATCCAGAGTTTTGGGAAGATTGGAGAAACTTAATTTTTCGCCCAAAAAAAAAAACGTAAGGGGTACCACTGTCGTTTTTTTTCGGGCCGAATTTTTGAGTTTCGATATCTCAGCTCTGGAAGGGGCTAGAGCCTCCATTTTTGCACTCAGGTCTAAGTCTCATGGCCCTCTATCAGAATCCAGAGTTTTGGGAAGATTGGAGAAACTTAATTTTTCGCCCAAAAAAAAAAAACGTAAGGGGTACCACTGTCGTTTTTTTTTCGGGCCGAATTTTTGAGTTTCGATATCTCAGCTCTGGAAGGGGCTAGAGCCTCCATTTTTGCACTCAGGTCTAAGTCTCATGGCCCTCTATCAGAATCCAGAGTTTTGGGAAGATTGGAGAAACTTAATTTTTCGCCAAAAAAAAAAAACGTAAGGGGTACCACTGTCGTTTTTTTTTGGCCGAATTTTTGAGTTTCGATATCTCAGCTCTGGAAGGGGCTAGAGCCTCCATTTTTTGCACTCAGGTCTAAGTCTCATGGCCCTCTATCAGAATCCAGAGTTTTGGGAAGATTGGAGAAACTTAATTTTTCGCCCAAAAAAAAAAACGTAAGGGGTACCACTGTCGTTTTTTTTTCGGGCCGAATTTTTGAGTTTCGATATCTCAGCTCTGGAAGGGGCTAGAGCCTCCATTTTTGCACTCAGGTCTAAGTCTCATGGCCCTCTATCAGAATCCAGAGTTTTGGGAAGATTGGAGAAACTTAATTTTTCGCCCAAAAAAAAACGTAAGGGGTACCACTGTCGTTTTTTTTTCGGGCCGAATTTTTGAGTTTCGATATCTCAGCTCTGGAAGGGGCTAGAGCCTCCATTTTTGCACTCAGGTCTAAGTCTCATGGCCCTCTATCAGAATTTGGGAAGATTGGAGAAACTTAATTTTTCGCCCAAAAAAAAAACGTAAGGGGTACCACTGTCGTTTTTTTTTCGGGCCGAATTTTTGAGTTTCGATATCTCAGCTCTGGAAGGGGCTAGAGCCTCCATTTTTGCACTCAGGTCTAAGTCTCATGGCCCTCTATCAGAGATTGGGAAGATTGGAGAAACTTAATTTTTCGCCCAAAAAAAAAAACGTAAGGGGTACCACTGTCGTTTTTTTTTTCGGGCCGAATTTTTGAGTTTCGATATCTCAGCTCTGGAAGGGGCTAGAGCCTCCATTTTTGCACTCAGGTCTAAGTCTCATGGCCCTCTATCAGAATTTGGGAAGATTGGAGAAACTTAATTTTTTCGCCCAAAAAAAAAAACGTAAGGGGTACCACTGTCGTTTTTTTTTCGGGCCGAATTTTTGAGTTTCGATATCTCAGCTCTGGAAGGGGCTAGAGCCTCCATTTTTGCACTCAGGTCTAAGTCTCATGGCCCTCTATCAGAATCCAGAGTTTTGGGAAGATTGGAGAAACTTAATTTTTCGCCCAAAAAAAAAAACGTAAGGGGTACCACTGTCGTTTTTTTTTTCGGGCCGAATTTTTGAGTTTCGATATCTCAGCTCTGGAAGGGGCTAGAGCCTCCATTTTTGCACTCAGGTCTAAGTCTCATGGCCCTCTATCAGAATCCAGAGTTTTGGGAAGATTGGAGAAACTTAATTTTTCGCCCAAAAAAAAAAAACGTAAGGGGTACCACTGTCGTTTTTTTTTGGGCCGAATTTTTGAGTTTCGATATCTCAGCTCTGGAAGGGGCTAGAGCCTCCATTTTTGCACTCAGGTCTAAGTCTCATGGCCCTCTATCAGAATCCAGAGTTTTGGGAAGATTGGAGAAACTTAATTTTTTCCCAAAAAAAAAAACGTAAGGGGTACCACTGTCGTTTTTTTTTTCGGGCCGAATTTTTGAGTTTCGATATCTCAGCTCTGGAAGGGGCTAGAGCCTCCATTTTTGCACTCAGGTCTAAGTCTCATGGCCCTCTATCAGAATCCAGAGTTTTGGAAGATTGGAGAAACTTAATTTTTCGCCAAAAAAAAAAAACGTAAGGGGTACCACTGTCGTTTTTTTTTTGGCCGAATTTTTGAGTTTCGATATCTCAGCTCTGGAAGGGGCTAGAGCCTCCATTTTTGCACTCAGGTCTAAGTCTCATGGCCCTCTATCAGAATCCAGAGTTTTGGGAAGATTGGAGAAACTTAATTTTTCGCCCAAAAAAAAAAACGTAAGGGGTACCACTGTCGTTTTTTTTTCGGGCCGAATTTTTGAGTTTCGATATCTCAGCTCTGGAAGGGGCTAGAGCCTCCATTTTTGCACTCAGGTCTAAGTCTCATGGCCCTCTATCAGAATTTGGGAAGATTGGAGAAACTTAATTTTTCGCCCCAAAAAAAAACGTAAGGGGTACCACTGTCGTTTTTTTTTCGGGCCGAATTTTTGAGTTTCGATATCTCAGCTCTGGAAGGGGCTAGAGCCTCCATTTTTGCACTCAGGTCTAAGTCTCATGGCCCTCTATCAGAGATTTGGGAAGATTGGAGAAACTTAATTTTTCGCCCAAAAAAAAAAACGTAAGGGGTACCACTGTCGTTTTTTTTTTCGGGCCGAATTTTTGAGTTTCGATATCTCAGCTCTG